GCGAGCGATTTTCAATTGATAGTTACAATCACAGCATGTACTATCCAGAAACTTTCCTTTCTTTCTCTCTCTCTCACACATATATATATATATATATATATATATATATATATATATATATATATATATATATATATATATATATATAAAATATAGACAAAAGGAAAACTATTTTTTACCCGATCTGAGATAAAGGCAAATGTAGGATTTATTTTGTTGCATGTGTTTATAGGCAAAAACGAGGGTGTCATTGGCTTTCCGGTTTGAGAACGTCCATGAATGTTTATCAGCATTGATGGCTACAATCACAGCATGTACCATCCAGAAACTTTCCTATCCCTCCCACTCACACTATATATATATATATATATATATATATATATATACAAGAGACACCACCAAAGGGTTATTAAATAGACATGAATGCCTTTTGGAGTGAAAACGGCAAGTGCAATTTTTAAAGAGCAATGGAAAACGTGTGAAATGACGAAATCAGAAATATGATTATTTATCAAGATGGTATTTGACTTGGTGGTGCCACAAAAGACGAATTAAGAGAGAAAAAAGAAAACAGAACGCGTGTTAAACAAATTAAAAAATGCGGGGGTGACAATAAACAGAGGGAAATGTGAATTTGATTGTGGTGCAATATCATTTATAGTAGCAAATTTCAAAAGATGGCATTACACCAGATCCAAAGATAATTAAGAAAATTTCAGAGTTATCTATACCTATTAATAGAAAAAAAATAGAATAATTTTCATTATCAGACGCCTAAAAAATACAGCGATTTAACAGAGTCATTTACTGAACTGCGTAAAATGAATACCGAGTTCAAATGGGCTCAAAAGCAAAGCTTACTGTTCAAGGATTTAAAAAAGATAATCGTAGAAAAGTCTATTGTAGAAATATTTGATCCCAGAAAGGAGGTTACGTTAACTACAATAATGTACCTTTCAAGACGATTGACGCCAGTAGGAATAAATTATTCAAAATATTGAAAAAGACAGAACTCGATAATTTTTATTAGGTAAGAGATTATTTTTAACCCCTAGAAAGGAGCTACCAAAAGATACTTCTTCCAGGATTCTAAGGTGGGAAATTAATGTGTTTATAGGCAAAAACGACGGTGTCATTGGCTTTCCGGTTTGAGAACGTTCCATAATGTTTTTCAGCATTGATGGCTACAATCACAGCATGTACTATCTAAAAACTTTCTTACCCCTCTCACTCACTCACAGACACACACTTTCTCTCTATCTATCTGTCTCTCTCTCCCTCTCTCTCTATATATATATAGGGAGAGAGAGAGAGAGAGAGAGAGAGAAGAGACACCACCACAGGGTTACTAAATAGACATGAATGCTTTTTGAAGTGAAAACGGTAAGTGCCATTTTTAGAGAGCAATGGAAAACGTGATATGTTACTTGATGGCTTGTGACTTTGACATTGAATTTCGTAAAAGGAAATACAATACTGCATATTGATGCGCTGTCAGGGTTACAAATTAATAGGGATAAAAACAAAAAAACGAAATACTCGATGAAGAAATAGTATATTGGGTTGAAACTCTACAACGATTGGTATCGGAAACTCTATAAGAGTCAATATTAAGCAAGGTTTCTGAGAGAATAAGAAGAAACTGACAGAGAAATTGTTCCAAAGCTGAAAGACCTTATAAAGAAATAAGGCATAAATTAACAATGGGAAACTGTTATATGCAATGGAAATGTGATAGTACCACCAGAAGCAGTAGTTATTTTAGAAAGTGTACATGATGATATGCATTGTGGGATAACGGCTATAATTAGAAGCAGGGTGACCAGGTTATTATCGCGGTATAGAAAGATATATACACAAATGCACAGAAATAAAGAATTTTCGACAAAGAAGAATACACTTATGGCCTAAAAAAGCGGAACCGTGGTCTCGTGTTTATATGGCGATTTTTAAGCGTAGCTTCGATGCGGCACAAGGTCGAAAGCATTGGTAAACCAGTGAGGATCAAACTCACAATTCAGTCGTAATTGATATAGCGAGACAAACTTGCTAACCGTTACACCACGTCGAGGTGCTCTATCTCGTGTTTATATGGAACCTGCACATATTAATGGCATGGTACTATTTCTAATTTTAATAGACACCTTCTCTAGATGGCTTGAAGTTATTAAAGTTAAAGATAGAAAAACGACTGCAATAAAACAAATACTAAGAGTGTTTTTTTCTAGAAATAAGGCCCCTAAAACATTACTATCAGATAACGCACCTGAATATTGTGATGAAGATCTATGCAATTGGTTGAGGCGAGTTGGTTGCTTCCCTTACAAAACACCACTTAATCACTTACAATCTAATGGGATTGCAGAAAGAATAGTGCAGACTAATAATTAGATTAAAAGCATTTTCTTTAAGTAGAGATAATACAGACAGTTTCTTACCAAGGTTACTGATTAATTATGGGACAATTCCACATGCAGACAGACTGCAAATCCCATCTGCGTTAATGGGAAGACAAATAAGATTTTCATTAACATTTCTTACTCGACAAATAAAAAAAAAAAGACGTGGTATAAGAAAGACAAAATAGTAATTCCTGAGAAATCTAATTTCATCATGCAGAGGGGACGTAACACTGCCATTATATCAAAGAAAGGAAAAAAACCTAATGGCTCATTCTGATCAATTAAGACAATAAAAGAGGAAGATGTTGCAATGGAAGAAGATCTTGACATAGAAGAAAGGATGAGCTCTTCGGATCAGATTAATAAAATAGAAGACGAGACTATGGGTGATAGCGGAAGTGACTCATACACGGAAGATGATCTCCATTAAAAAGAACAGGACATAAGCCTCAAGGGGGAGAGAAGGAAAGTGATTGTAGAAGAAGTCCGAGAACAACCAAAGGCATTAAACTTCTTCGTTTCAGAGAAGTGTAGTGGATTTCTAAATAGGGTTATACCTATTTGCCTATGTTAAGTAGAAGAGAAATAAAGTCTAGGGTAAAGAAAGAGACAGGTGGAAATTGATTACTGATCACGTTTCGTAGAACAACACAATACAACACCAAACACAAAAATTAACTTGAATCCTTTTCTTTCATTCAGGTTAACCAGTTTTTAAGCTGAAGTCTGCTTCTACCAGTTCAGCCGTGGAGCCAGACTGAAACGGTAAAGTCAGAATTAGCTGTTAAGGAAAGCATTTTTTCCCGTTAAGACTTCCACGAATCTACAGGCTGGTCCGAAAGGCTTGTCAACTTATATAATATAATTTTCTAATTTCAGGTGGCTGACAGGAAAATGATGGTGTTCATATAGACCTTCTCTTCAGCGTCAGTGAAAGTGAATAAATACACGCGCTTTGTATTACAGTATTACTGTATTACTTGTTATTCTATTGTTCTCATTACTTTTTGTTAGGGAGTGACAAGATTTTTCGGACCACCCTGTTTTTTTCTGCTAGCTTTAGTTGCGTACCCAAAACCTAAACAACAAATCCGACATTATTTCTTATTAGTTTAAACGATTTTTTTTTTTTTTTAGTAGATACACCCGTTTGAATTGTTACTCCTGTTTTATGCACACACAAATATAGATATGTGTGTGTGTGTGTGGTGTATGTATGCATGTGCATGTGTGCATACAGATTGCAACTGTAGCTTTGCGTTAAAAGTAGCTGCTTAATGTGGTGAATAGATTTTATTTTTTAATTAAATTCTTCAATCGATGATTCAATTCTCCACGTTGTTAACTTGATTCGGCGCCATGTTATCCAAAATTGGCGAGTGAAAAATAAAAAAAAAGTCCTGAATGTTATTTATGTACTCGGCTCAGCCAAAATCGTTGCAGTGAAAAAAAGATCACTTTGACATGAAATTGAATTTTCTCAAAGAAAGAAAGAAAGAAAGAAAGAAAGAAAGCGATTGAGCATAGAGCAATGAAGTAGAAAAATCAAAAGAAAGCAACAAACAAACAAAACAAATCAAATCAAACAGAAGACAAAAGAAATAGGAGACGAAACAAAGAAATAAACAACCGAAAAAACAAGAGAGAAAGAAAGCAAACAAGAAAGAAGAATAAGCTAAAAAAAAGGAAGAAAAAGTGTAGAAAGAAAGGTAACAAAAATAAAGAAAAACAAAAGGAAGAAAGAAAGAAAGAAAGAAACAAATAAAAAACAAAGAAAGAAAAAAGAACGAAGAGAAGAAATTTGTTTTATAAGATAAACAAAACGAAAGAAAAAAAAAATGGTTGTAATACTGAAAAAAAGAAAAGAAATATGGTTAGGAAAGAAAAAGAAATTGAAATAGTAATCAATGAAACTTAGTGCAAGTTTAATTTTGGCAAATTTGGACGATATGACTCAAGTGTAGAATGGATTTTGCCGCTACACTATTTGAGCACTACCGTTAAATCGTATAAATGTTCAAAAAGGATTACGACGAATAACGATAGAAATGATGTGTTAAGTTAAGAAATTTTCCCTCGGTCAAATTACATGCAGTTTTGAGGAGCACGACAGAGCTATTTTCAAAGGTTGTATTATTCAGGCAAAGGGCATTCAAATAGGAATCATATTTACTTTTTTTTTACTCTTCTTTTTAATCCAACATCAGATTTATTCTATACGCGCTTTTTCTCCTTTCTTTCTTTCCTTCTTTCTACTTTGACAAGTCAAATCTAATTCTTTCAGTTCTTTTTTCTTTCTACTTTTTGTTTCCTCTCCTTCCCGCTCAGCTCAATTTCTTTCTTTCTTTTTCTTTTTTTCTTTCTTTCTTTCTACTTTTTCCTCTCTGTCCAATTTCTTTCTTTCTTTGACAAACCAAATTTAATTCTTTCATTTCTTTTCTGTTTTGTTCTTTCTTTCTTTCTTTCTTTCTTTTTCAATGAAGCATTACATCTTATTTGAAGAGACAATACAATTCCACGTCACAGTAATAACGGCCATTTTTTATCATTTAGTTACTCTAGTCCTTCCACGGGCTCAAGCTGATATAACCAACGCACACCAGTAGACACCGTCATACGAAGAAATGTCAAAAAGAAAGAAAGAAAACTGAATAATATTTAAAAGTTGGAACAAAATAAAAAGAAAAAATGGTTGCGTATTGTCCAAGTAAGGCTGGAAAAAAAAAACACGAGAAGAAAAACAATTAAAAGCAAAGAAAGAAAAATCCTGATAAACAAAAATGTCTTTTCTCCCTATGGATTCTCTCGACCTACACAGTTCTTTCTGGCCTCCATTTTCACTTTATAGATAATTATCCATCTGGGATTCTCTCTGACCAACCAATCACGCGTATCTCTTCAGAGAGGTGCGGGTATCACTCCTACTGCTTTTATCTCTACTGTTGGTTGGTTACACAGATCAAAACTGAGTGTCGGCTGTCGATGTTTTTATATGCCCATGCGCCGGAGCATGCGCAGTGCGTCCTATTTACTGTGCAATATTCCATATATTTTCTTTACATTTCGCTGTAATTTGCCGATCCACTGGCTCGTTAAATCATCGACATTATAACTGCACTTCATATGCAGATAGAAACTGGTGGGGGTTGGCATAATAATACCATCTGTGAAAGTTTAGGATGTATCTCGAGCTGTTAACAATCGTTACTTCAATTTTACCTGGTAGAAGAAAAACTTTGATTTTAAGAAAAAAAAATATCAAAGACTTTGTTTATTTATTACCTAGAGTTGTCTGTTTACTTGTGGCATTTTTTAGTATTAAATTGCAGTTAGTAAAGATTTCCCTAGCGAAGTTTAGATGTGGCACAAGGCCGAAAGCATGGGCACCCAGTGAGGATCGAACTCACTTTTCTGTATTAACTGACCTAGCAAGACAAGCTTGTTAACCATTACACCACGCCGAGGTAAATTTCAGTTAGTAATTATGCTAAATTTCTTGCAAGTGTTAGCAGAAAAAATTATATTATAAGAATTTTATTAAGATTTTGTTATTATTATTATGGGTGTAGCGTAGTGGTTACCGACGCGAAAAAATTCCAGCCGAGGTCGTTGTGTTCAATTTTGCATGAATACTCGTGGGGTAAGTTATGAACCCGTTTCTCCTCCCCCCACTAAATATGGTGATTTTCTAACCGCATCTTAAATGTGTCACAACGCTGAAAGTATGGGGCACCCAGTGAGGGTCGGACTCACTATTCGGTTGGAATTGATCTCGCGAGACAAGCTTACTAACCATTACCGCACGTTGAAGTGCCCACTCCTTCCCACTAAATAAGAGTTAAACAGCAGACTAAGCTAAATAGCTTTGGTTAGCAATCATTCTAGGATGACGATAAATCTGAAATCAAAACCGATTGAGTATAGGGCTGTCAAAAAAAAAAGAAAAAGAAGCCTATTTGCTACGGATTCCATATCATCTAATGAGGTTGTGGTCCTATACTCCGCATGAGTGAGAACGACTCGTGTCTCTTTTCTCTCCTATTAAGATCGATGAAAACTGTCATCTTCATGTTCTTCAAGATGTTCTTTCTAAAACATTCCTACTAATAACCATGGCTCTTTTATGGATCACAGAACCCTAGGGAGTATCTGTAATGTCTATTTTACCAGTGGGTAGACTCCGTAACAGAGTGCACAACATACGCCTGTCAACGATACTAAAAGTGTACAACACCTTCTCTCCTGTACAGAAACAGAGCGTAGACCATATATTACGGGCACATCGATAAATTGGAAAAGTTCCACTAGCGAGCTCTTCGCCCCACACGAAGTGTCAAGTTAGAGGATCGTATCAGCAACCATTTTGTTTTTCAGGACGTTTAACTCGTTCATAAGTGTCTTAACTATCAGCTATATAGAAGAGTATTTCTAGATCAATGATTAAAAATGGCTTCAAGCGAATGAATCTGTCAAGTCTTAAAGAAGACTATTTTTCATCACTCCCTATCGACTGGCGCTACATAATCATAAACAAAGATCTTTAACAAATAACAACATCAATTGAACACTTCTAACAGACAGAATCATCAACAACTAAAATGGATGTCACATATAACGAAAAAGGAAGTAATTGCTAATCGAGATATTAACCTTCCACAATACCATAAACAAAAGGTTTGAAAGAAAAGTCCAATCGGTACTAGAAAGATCGATAACAGAGGACTTGAGAAACCTATTTTACTGAAAAAATTGTTTTAAGAAAAGTTTTTATAAATTTCAACCAACAGTTCGGTCAATAAATGCCGAGTATTTCGTATATGGAAACGGTGATTTTTGGCATTACTATTAAAGTCTGGACAAGGCAGCACTTTGCCTATTAAAATAGAAATCAACCGTCAGATATTATTAAAAATTAATCACAGAGATACATTCTTCATTATCAGATCTTTACTATATGACATACTTATTTTTTTTAGATATTTCAACTATCTCTTGATGTAAATTATAAGTTGATTTTTTGTTTCCATTTTCTCTAAAACTTCATACATCTTCAGTCTATGGCATCCTTAGCAATGTTCGGTTGCTTCAAGTCTCTTCTTCATCTTTGAGGAGATTGTCCAGCATTACGGATGCGAAACGTTGACCTTGCGCTGCAGGCACATGAGGATATTGGGAAAGTTCTACGAGCGAGCCCTTCATTCCATACTAGGAGACACGTTAGAAGATCCTTACAACAGTACCATGCGAATTTGACCAGCATCGATTCGATACACACCAAGGCATACGGCCGGCAAACTGGCCACGTCATCCGCATGGCCGAACATTGCATTCAACAGACGCCTTCTTTAAACTTTTATAAAAAAAGGTATTCTTGTCCAAGTACACAATTTATATATATATATATATATATATATATATATATATATATATATATATATATATATAGACTAGTCGCAGATATGATTGGATTGATGACGTCTTCTGTAGAACAGACCACACTTTTCGGAAGAACCGAATACAAGGTATCCAAAAATAATCTTTTTTTTAATTCGGAATTCTCCTACTCATAGACTGATTGGCAACCAAGGCTCAAGACACCAGTCAGCCCTACTATTTAATCCTAACATGAATAATAGAAAATATGGATTAATAACTATTCCAAGAGTATTTGCAATTTGCTGCCTATTACACCACCCTCATATCTACATACGCACACACACACAAATACACATACACACACACACATATGGTGCGATAGGCAAATTGTCGCCATATTATAATTTTTAACTGATTGGCATTCACGCCAGTAGTTAAAATACGATCATTTCATAGTGTTTGGTTGTCAATCTGAGGAAGTTGTAGACGATTCGGAAAGAGTTGGATGAGTCTAATGGTGAGTACGAAAAATTCACTTTGATCGTTCTGATAAGTAAAGAACTACTGAACTTGTTGGTGAGGGCCTCAAACTCAACTCAGAGGCCTACATCAAGTATCTTGAGGAGGTAGTGCTGCCCTGCCTCAAGATGGTGGCTGCTGGAAGAACCTTTGTCTGGCAACATCAATCTCCACCATACAACAGAAGCAGGAGAACCGATTCATGGCTGTCAGGCAATTTCTGCGACCATATCACCCTTTACATGTGGTTACCTTACTCCCTAGACAGCAACACCCTTGATTATTATGTGTAGGGTGCAGTTGAGCGAGAGGCCAACAAAACTTCTTGTAATAGCAAAGATAAATTGGAAGCAAGAACTATGTCAGCATTTACAAACTTGTTTGAGACCGTCCAGAAGAGTTTCAGGAGATTACGAAGTCGTCTGGAGGCCGCAGATGAAGCCAATGGCGATTTTATCGAAAATATTTACTCGTAATTATTTCAAAATATGTTTGTGTAATTTTGGTAAATATCGCTTAAAATGATATGTCAGTGTTATTTTCAATTTTTCGTAATTTAGTCAACGATTTATCCATCGAACTAAGTATATATATATATATATATATATATATATATATATATATATATATATATATATATATATATATATATATATATATATATATATATATATATATATATATATATATATATATATATATATGTTGTGTGTATGCGACGCAAAAAATACTTAGCCTAGTTTCCATCGTCATTTTCGAAGTTTCCTTGTGCACAAGTACACACGCTTAAAAAGTCTATGTTTTATAAAACGTAGTGGCGAAAAGTCCTAACAACACCCGTTTTCCATAAAATGCGTAACAGCTAATATGCTTATATATATATATATATATATATATATATATATATATATATATATATATATATATAGGTGTGTATTTGTGTGAAAAGAAAGAAAGAAAAGAAAAAAAAGAAGGAAAGAAGGAAAGAAAAAAAAAAAAAGGAAAGAAAGACAAAAAAAAAAGAAAAAAAAGAAAAAAAGAAAAAAAAAAAAAAAAAAAAAAAAAGAAAGAAAAAAAAAAAGAAAAAGAAAGAAATAAAAAAGAAAGAAAAAGGAAAGAAAGAAAGATAGAAAGAAGGAAAGTAAGAAAGAAGGAAAGAAAGAAAGAAAAAGGAAAGAAAGAAAGAAAGAAGGAAAGAAAAAAGAAAGAAGGAAAGAAAAAGAAATAAAAAAGGAAAGAAAGAAAGAAAGAAAGAAAGAAGGAAAGAAAGAAAGAAAAAAGGAAAGAAAGAAAGAAAAAAGGAAAGAAAGAAAGAAGGAAAGAAAGAAAGAAAAAAAAGAAAGAAAGAAAGAAAAAAAAAAAAAGAAAGAAAAAGAAAGAAAGAACCCACATTCTAACTCCAAAGTAAATTTTCTCCACATGGTTTCCACCGGGCGACAAATCAGCGTATAATTATGGATTTCATTTCATCATGTTCCATTTGTTGTTGACGAATTTCTTTTTTCATTCCTACCTATATTCACACCTACATTTAATTTTAAACTGCAATCACCCTCGTCAAACATCATGATTTGGTTTCTCTATTTTAAATTAATTGGAAACGAAAACTGTAAGATCTGTTTATAACCTAATTTTTTTCTGTTTTTCCAAATTTTTCTTTTCCCAGATTTCATAGAAAGAGCCGGGTTTCAATCCAGTTTTTAAACGTATAAAGGTATAAACTCGAAGCTTGTCGTATGTCAGTGTTCAAAATCATTTACGGGGCCTTGTGTGGGATGACAATTACCACCCACATCATATTTCCCCACAGACGAAACGTCGCAAGCCTATTGTTATTCTGTCTATACTGTCAAATGTTCTGACCATTTCTATTCTTTAGTGCCACCAGTTCAGACCTTTACGGACATGACGCACCTTGCCACATCCAAATAGTTGAATCACCGTTATTCCCTACGTATTTCTTTGGTACGAACCGTGTTCCACTTCGAAAGCTTCTTCCCAGTGACCAATCAGCTTTGTGCCATGCGTGATACCTGCTTAGGCGATCATGTATCTTTCGATACATAACTGACGAGGCATATTTTTCCCGCAGTAGGTTGCCATTTTTTTCTGCAGTAGACCAGTTGCCATCCAAGGCTATAGAACCCGGTCTGTCCTGCTAATTACCCATAGCTGGGAGGAGAAGAAAAGGATTCATACCCTTCCCAAGGATATTAGCACGTAAGTGAATGTAATGGATTCGACTGGAATTTGAACTCGGCTTCCGATTCGCCAATCCGATACTATCCATTACACCGTACATCTTGTATTTTCGATACATGACTGACGAGGCAGATTTTTTTCCCGCATTTGCCATTTTTTCTGCAGTAGATCAGTTGCCATCCAAGTTATAGAACCCGGTCTGTCCTGATTTACCCATAGCTGGGAGGAGAAGAAAAGATTCATACCCTTCCAAGGATATTAACACCACTGAATTCGAACTCGGCTCTCCGATTCCCCAATCTGAGACACTATCCATTACTCCACCGTGCCTCCCATCGAAAGCTCTATGAAAGTGAATGTAATGGAGTCGACTGGAATTCGAACTCGTCGAATCCATTACATTCACTGGAATGACGACTATGTGGAATAAACGCCCAAGAATGACAATTTTAACCTATTCAAGTCTAGGGTAAATCGATATCTATCCGCCATATCCTCGTAATCTTAATTTCCTACTTCCTCCTCTTATGTTTATATCACACGTAATAACCTTTTAACTTGAATCTCTTTTGGCCCATGCATTGGGTGAACTATAGTCAAAATTTAGATCGAAAATTTTCACCGTATAATGATAGATTTATGATATTAACATAGGAGGGGGATTAACGTGAAAGATTATATTGGATAATAAATATTTCTCGTGTAATGCTTTCTTCATCATCAGGCTTACTCATTTATATTGATTTTCTAAGCGTAGTTTGGTTGTGGCACAAGGCCGAAAGTATGGGGCATCTAGTGAGGATTGAACTCACTTTTCAGTCGTAACTAATCTAGCAAGACAAGCTTATGTGTCAGAACGGCGTTTTGCATATAAAAAATTAAATATTATAAAATGCGCTGAATATTATTGTATTTCGTTTACTAGTGTGTAAATTGCACTTTCGTAGATACAATGGAAGTTCGATCTACATCGGAAACAGGAACAACAACAACAATATCGATTTTTCGACTGCTATTTTCTTCATCTTAATTTCATGTGCTTTTTTGGTGCAACTCCTCAAGCCGACATTCTACAGCCGTCAACAGTTGTCTTCGAGGTGCCATGTCCTGAAAGTCTTGGACGATCTTGGATCTTAACACCTTATCCTCTGTAGATGGAAGTAATATTTTGGCATCCGTTTACGCATACTCATTAAGTATTTTACTCGATGTTTTTCTCTGCCCTACTTTGCCTTCAGTATGTCCTGTGAGTGTCACATTCTCGAAGCCCACTTTTCTCATTAAGCGCCCAAGAAATTTAAACTGTTTTTAATACTAAGAACAAGTATCCTTTACGTTCTCATTTTCCTTAAAACTACATCGTTGCTAACATATTCTCAGTATCGTATTCTCAGCATCCTTCTGTAGAACGATATCCCTTTCGCTTCAAATAACCTCTCCATATGCGAAAATTGTCCAGTATTCGCTGCTACCTAGCAGGATTGATATTACGTTACAGTTCAGCATCTACCGAAATTTTTCTGTTTCTTGATACATTGTTTAGATTTTGGAAGGCATCTTTTGTTATCGTTATGGTAATTTACTCACGCTGGCATGGACTCTCCCAGCTATAAATAGGAGCAGGTACTGCCTTTTGGAGAGGAAAGTTTTCAGTAGTCAGCTTTGATAGTTGGGCTGAACATTCTTGCTGTAACACTCTCGTTTGTATATTTTTGTATCACTGTTTCTGTTAATATATTTGTTTAACTCAATTCCTCTCTTTGTGTCTTTATTTCTGGCCCTATCAAGGCCACAACAGTTATGCACCTTCTGATTTCTCTGTCATTTTGTGTTATCTGTTAAAGCACTTCATAGTTAGATTTCTAAATTTTTAATGACAAAATTCTGCATTTATGAAGTTCCCCTCGTTTCATTGTTTATGTCAAAGTATTAAAAAATATAAACTTAATGTCACAGTGCGCCATAACCCTGGGTCAAAGTTTACCACTGATACGAATTATCTGAATTAATGCTTTCTGGTCTTTCATAGCATTGGAACTGGAATATCGGGAGAATTAAAATCCCTCTCTTCCAGGTTGGTAATTTTACAAGAAAAAATTATGTCAAAGCATATAAATTAAAGATGGAAAAAAGAATTCCTTAGATAATTAAGGAGACAGTAGACACAACAGACAAAATGACTTGGTTATGATAGAGCGAAGTACTTAAAGGCTGTTGAAAATTTCAGTACAAAACAGTAAGGACAAAAATTTAAATATCTAGAAAGTGTTTTAGCAGAGGACGGAATGTGCGACACCGAAATCCGTAGGTTCATTGGAATCGCGTAAGATGCCTTCCATATGCTAAGCAAATTATTAAGAAACAGGAAAATTTCGTTAAAAACAAAGAAAAGAGTACTGAACTGTTATGCAATATCGGCCCCCTAAAAGGCCAGAGAATGCTGGACAATTTCCCCAAGAAACCTTGCAGAAACACAAACGTGGTTCAACAGAAGGATGCTGAGAATATCATGGACTGAACATGAGAGTAACGAGGAAGTTTTAGAGAAAATGGAAACAAATGGAATACTTTTACGTAGAATTAGAAAGAGACAATTGAAATTTCTCGGGCTCATTATAAAAAAGAGAAGTTTTAGAATTTGTCCCCCACAGAAATTTTTAGGATAGGTTCGTATGACTAGAACATGTATTCTTTGTAAGAAATCAGTTTGTAGATCAGATTTGGTTTGTTTAATTTTACGGCATACCACCATCAATGGGTTATTTAATGTCGACAATATTTTTAGGATAGGTTCGTATAAATAGAATAAGTATTGCTTGTAAGAAATCAGTTTATAGATCAGGTTTGGTTTATTTTGTTTTATGGAATATCAACCTCAATAGGTTATTTAATTCCGACAATATTTTTTATTGCTGGTAATATTTTGTTTTGTCAAAAATCTGTATCTGGTAATATATTTCCTTCAAAACTGTATTGCATGTAATAGTTAACTATTTGCCCATATCTGGGACCCTAACAGGTGCTACCACCCCGGGCCAGGGCGGATCTGGGAATACAAGCAAGTAAGAGGTGGTTCCACGCTCCTCAAAACCTGATCAGAGGCCTTGCTGCTGGACGTAGTTTAACGTCTTACCCAGGACGCGGATGTAGTTTAACGTCTTACCAAGGACGAGAAATGTTGTTGAGAGCCATGGTCACCCAAAGAGACCTTAAGGGACATGGCATATAATTGAAGAAGAATTGTTGATTTTTTGTTAATAGTGTGAGGTGTTAACGAAAACCTTTTTCTCTTCATTTCTACATTTCTGTTTTCGTTAAATATAATCATAACTTCTTCCCAAATGTTTTATATCCATTTAAAAAAAAAATGACATATCTATGGAGAAAATGAAAAAATCAATTAATTTTTTTCTCTCAGGCTGCCAAACCAGATGATAAGCCAGACAAAGTAACAACTTCTATTTTACTATTGGCTAAACAGGGTGTGATTTGCTTTTTTATTTTAGAAATAACATTCACTTCAAACTTCGAGAGCTACTGAAGATGGAGCGTTAAAGTTCAAATAGTAATGATGAAAAACGCCTGTGATATTGTTATAGATGAACACACCTATTCTATAGTTAATAGACCCTCCCACCTATAATAAGTAGGAGTAGTAAGAGTAACGAGGAAGTGGTTCAGTGGTTCGGTCAGTCGGTCGATGCCGGACGACCGTTAGTCGGATACTAAAGTATCAGCGACCACAACTATATTTCTTTGCGTCATTACCTATTATATCAAGTTCCTAACATTTTGTACGTCGAACCTATTTTAGGACCGACTTAGTACAAATACAAGCCTCCACTGTGAAACCACTCCATAAACAGATATGAATAAAACAAAAGGTGATAGGAAGTGGAGATTATGAGAATAACTAGGATAGATAACAATTAACCCTTGACTTGAAGAGGTCATGATTAAATCGTTCAGGGAAGCACCCAAGCGGGAGTCTTTCACAAATTGGCAGTTTTTGGAGGAAAATCTGCCAGATTGAAACTTACTTCTTGCATTAAAAAAAAAAAACGGGGTAAATAAAAGTGATTCGATTCTATGGAAATCGCATGACGTATCCGAACAGTAAAGAAATCTTAGGTTGCCAAAGATATCGCATATTTTATTCGGACCATAGGCTTGAGCGGCTTCAGATAAAC